TGGGCAGTGGGAGCTCGTGGACGTGGGATGCAAAGCGCGGCCCCAGGGACCTCTGTACTCGCCGCTCTGTGAGCAGACCTTTCTCCTTTACCTTCTCATATCCTCTGAAACCCAATTTGTACATGTTTCTTAATACTGAGGGTTATGTAAGTTATCTCCAAAACCTCTCCTGCCACCATCCTGGACAGCCAAGAGATTTGCCTGAGGCTACTTTGGGCTATCATAGCCTGTAAATCCACAAATGCTTTAAGCTGCCCTAAGCCAGAAATGACACCCAAAGTCTTCCTTTACCTTGTGCTGTCCCTTCGCTTCTACAGGGACAAGAGCCTCAACGGCCATGCTGTGAACTGGAGCGGGGAACTGATTTTTTTTTTTTTTTTCTTTCTTTTCTTTTTCTGGCTTAGCTGCGACCCAGATTAATTGTCCTTGTCATTCCCTGCCAGTTAATTAAGCAATTGCACCAAGGGCTGTGCTGGCACGGAGGGGCGGCTGGAGCAGTGGGAGGGAGCAGCCGGGGAGGGCCGGAGCGCTCCCCTGGGCACACAGCTGGCTCCTGCTGGCCCGGGGCGACCTGCAGCGTAGCCTGAGCTCTGTCTCTGCCATGCACCTTGGTGCTGGGTCTTTCGGGGCATCCTACTGGGACTATGTTCTCCTTGATGACTGTGACCCTTCTGTCCTCTTCGGCAGATGTTCACACCTCGACAGAGAGGGTGTGTTGTGAAATCCCTCCTGCTCCTCGGTCCTCCATGGGTGATAATTATCTGTATGTCTCACACTGCCTGGCAGAGGTGAATGACCCTATAACTCCCTCCTACTTGCAGTGCTCTTTTCTCTACAGCTCTTAATGATTTCTTTCTCTCCAAAAACTGCCACCGCACCACTGACTAGCATAATTAAGTTAAAACTCAGAGCAATTATTTCCAGCTATCACTTAGCTTGGAATTCAGGGCTTGTGTTTTAAAAAATGAATTTGTACTGAAAACCTGTCCATCTTCCCAACTTCATCTATTGTGTTAATGATACATACTGCAGAAATCTTCATTCAGATGCTGGCTCATACAAAATATATTGAAAATTCAGCTCCTCATCCTACAGGAAAAGGACATGGCCTTACTTCTTTTTATGGATATCTTTTGATCCAGCCATGACAACCATACATAAAACCAGACCTTACAAGGACACAAATGTCAGGAGATGAACATGCTTCTGCCTAGGAAGATGCTCAATTTAGAGAGGCAAGAGGACTTGGGATGAATGTTTACTTGAGCACTTTAGTGATATGGTCCTACATACAAAGTGTGCTTAACTCTCCAGTCACCCCACAGACTGCTAGAGGGTTGAGGAGGTGAAAAGCAGCTTAGAAAGTTTGTGGTGTTGCTGACCTGTCCCTTGAGAGAGCAGAGGGCAGTCAGTCTGAATGTTGGAGCAGGAGCTACTCTAGGGTGTGATGGCAGCGTGCCACAGGGCACATGGCAGAAGGCTTCTCCTTTCCTGTATTAAAGCTAGGGTTTATATGTAAGTTATTAAAAAACAGGGAATGATTCAGGGCTATTGCTGTAAGAATCATCATGACGCCATCATCGCTTCTCTTGAATTTCCTCCCCACCTTGCTTTCTTCCTAGTGTTATTGATGGTCAGTTCCTTCAGATTAGATTGTATAAAATCTAGGACTGTGCTTTTCTATCTGTTTTTGACCGTGCTTTTCTTGCAGCTCGGACAACGTCTAGTGTGAAGGATCTCTGACTGTGGCTTCAGCTGATAGGTAACACAGTGTCCTGTGCTGCAGTTATCTTGGACACCAGACAGATTCATTCAATTTGTGTCTGTCTGGGGAGTCTGGTTGAGCAGAGAGAGTAATTCCAGAGCAGAAGGTGAATGTTTCTAGTTTCGTAGCTGTTCAGATATAAAACATTACAGATAGCAATTTACACTTTGCTACAATCCTGACACAGCTGTTTGCCTCGTGGGATAATTCATTTACACTTAAGAGGAAAAATAGTGGCAAGAGTGACTCTTCCCTCAGATCCTTTATATTCCTCACTGCAGATTTCAACAGGCCTTTTACCTACCCTGTTCTGAATGACTGGCTAGAAGCATTTTTCTGCTTCAAAGAACATAAAGTAAAGCAATTAATCCATTTCTTTCAGGAACCCTCTGCACTGCCACCCTGCTTCCTCTGCCAGACTCCCTGTTACTGCACCCAGGGGCTCGTTAGAAAGCAGTTCAGACACTTTCATGATGGTATGCCAACTCCTTGTTCAAATGCACAGAAGATCCATCCTGCCTCTGGGCTCAGGATACAAATAACCACTCAGCACTGCCCCCAAAATGACCCATTAATCCTCAGCCTGTAAAGACGGGCAGGCTACCTAATGTTTTGGTAGCCAGGGAAATGTATATAAAGTGCCATCACTGCCTGCAAGGCTGGGAGGAAGAACAGAGGATACATTGTCATAATTAAAAATAGAAAAAAAAAGAGGTACAGAGATCTGGGCACCAATTCTGTATCAGGGCTCTGCAGTATTAGCACATGCTACTAGAAAGACAACGCAAGCCTACAAGGATGCTTCAAATTGAATGCTTCAAATGCATTTATTGTTATTTATGCAGTTGACAATTGCAAAATAATTCACTGAAGTATATTCAACACATGCACTACATTTCCCATAACACTATAAATCCAAATTTCAGTATAAACCTAAATCCAGATTCTACTGAAGCATGAACCTTGAGATTTAGAGCTGATTTCTGTAGTGGATATGCTGCATATCACTATATGGGGATCCCCCTTGACCTTGACCAAAAGGCAGACCACTGCTTTGATGGAGCTTGGCAGCATTTTAACAACAGCCTCCCTCAGAACGCCAGCCTGGGGAGGCATTTGGGGGTTGCATACTCTGTTACATGTAATATCTGTGTTTGATTTTAGCTGAGGAGCACAACTGCAGTCACAGTAAGAAAAGGGTTCACTGTATATTGAACACATTAGGAAGCGTTTTGGACTGTCTGAGGAAGCAGGCTTCCTACTTCCTTTCACAGAGGACAATTTCAACCAAGACCTACTGACGCCCAAAGCTTGGAGAGCAAAATGCTCCGAACTCACTCAGGGGATATATCTGAACAAGAAGAAATACAGGGCGGGGAAAAAGGGATGCAACTAAGTAAGCCAGAAGCGATAGCAAGCTGCAGTAGTTGAAGGATGATAGCTGGTAAAGCCTGTTGACTCAGAAAGACCCAGGTCCCAAGCAGTGCTCTGAAACAAAAGCTTTCCGCCTTTTCCAGGGTCCCTGAGCATGGCTCTCCATGGCTGTGTGCCCTCTATTGTGCATACAGCACTGCGTGTGTGTGAGACACGGTTAGAACTGGATTTTTCTCTCAGATAATCAACTGCCTGTTGCTACTTGTTTTGTAAAATTAGCTCCTGTGACTGAGCAAACTACTAATTTCCGACTTCTAACAAAGCAAGCACAGAAAGTAGAAAGCTCTTGTTCTGTCAATAGATGAAGAAAACTGGAGGTCTGTAGAAATGTTGGCTATTCTGTTTAATCAGATGCTTAATAAGATCTGTAACGTTAATAGGGTGTAGGAGAGAGCATGGTAGCTAAGTTCCTAATTATGATCACCTTTAAATTGTCAAATCTCAGAGATCTTATTACTCCTGGTAAGGAATTTAATTACTCTAGAGAGTAGGTTTTACGAAAATTGCTCAGCAGTATGTCTTATTTGTGTTTTATTCATAATAGTTCAGAAGTCATCTCAAGGCATCTACCTCTGCAAAATGGGTATGCATGTGTTCTGTGTACATCATGCTGTGCTCCCGTGCTTTAGTATGTGGTGAGAAGAATGGCTTGTTTGGCTCGTGGGCAGCTGTACTGAGTATGTAGCACATGCACATACCGTCCATAAATCTGTTGTTTTGAGGTAAACAGAAGTCTGGCAAGCATGCAGTATGATTGTTTGTTTGATGGGGAGAAATGCTGGATTTTTATTTGCATTTTATTTGCAATACAATGACAACTTTTTTTTTGCAGAAATTCATTGATACATTCCATGTGCAAAAATACCTGAGGTTTTTGTTAAAGCACGCGCGTGTGTGTATACATTTTTATTTATACTGGGGAAGACAAATGAGAGTTTGCATCCGCTTGATAGGGCAAGGGCAAGGAGAAAAATGAAGTGGAAATTTTCTTATATTAACAGCCAAAACGTCAATCTGCAATCCCTTTTTGAATTACCATTGCAGATAGAGCATAGAGAAGACTTCATTTTGTGTCTACCTCAATAAGGCCAACGTTTCCTTGAGAAAAAGAAGCACATACGGTGAAATCTCACATAATGAAAGCTAGTGACTATTCAGCTAGAGCTCAAAAGTAAAAGACAGGAAACATTTAGAAAAGCATATCATGGGAATAAGAACACAGGAAAAAGCAGGAGCTGAGTATATATTAAAAACTCCACCCACAAAACCTTTCGGTGATGCTTTTGTAAATAAGTTGTGAAAGGCAGATGCTCCTTTTTCATTTCACCCTGCGTTGAGAATGCCAGGGGAGAAGTCCCACTGACAGCTAAATGCACAGCAGCCCTTGCCATCTGGTATGTAAAGTGCGTCAGGGCTCAGCAGAGGAAGCAGGGACAAACACCATGAGAACCTATTTTAGATAGTACCATGCTGGAGCCAAGGAGAAAGCTGTGTGGAAGTCGAGGTGACTGGCCCAATGAGCAAGAGGAGAAAAAATGGGAAAACCCGCAGTGACCCTTAGGTGTAGGTGAGGGACAGGCACCCTATTGAGTGGTATAGCCACCATGTGTGCACATGTGTATAACCACTCACTGGGTGTCTTTTTCTTTTCAATCTTCAGGAAGAGGCAGCCAGAGTTCTCGCCCACCAGCCAGTGTCCGTCGGCACATGTGCAGCTTTGAAAAATCCCACACTGCAGTGAATGTGTAAGAGAAGCTGCATGACAAAGAGTGGTTTTACCCCTTGCTTTCTCCTTCTCATTGATTTATCATGTCTAACGATGGGACAAATGTGGTGCATGCCATTAAAGATGGGAAATTTGCTTATGTCCCCTGTTTTGCACAATGCCTTAATCTGATTGTCCAGATGTGATGAACAGGACACTGAATAATTTTTTTGCAGCTTTTACTTTTTTTATTTTTTAAAACCTTCAATTTTATTTGTAAACACCTACAACTTTGCAAATACATCTTTTTTTTTTTTGTACTAATTTTATCTTCTTTTTCCATTTAGCCAATATTTTTTTCTTTTTTACAGTTTTGCATGGAGATGACATTATCCTGCGTGCTTTAACACAACACTTTAGTGGCTGTCTCACGGCAAGACACCTTTGCTGTGCACAGCTGCTGCTAACTATGCTTGTTAGTGAACTGCTGCTGCAGAGCCAGCAGAGGGAACACAGAAAACACTGGTTTGGTGGGATTCCATGAACAGGGAAATCATGAGCAGGCACATGTAAATAAAACCAGCAGAATCTGTCTCAGGAACCAACAGTCGCCCGAAAGTATCCTTAAACAATAGCAGAGTAATTTTTCCTGTTATAGTTTCAAAAAATGTTCAGATTCTGCACATTCTCCATTCAGTGAACGATAGCAAAGTTCAGCTCTTCAGAAACGAGAAGTGCAAATACAGCCCTCTCTGAGCAAACACAAACCCGCTGGAGAAAACATGCTAGCTGTTGCAGAAACAGCAACGCTTCGCCTCATTGCTTCCAGGACAGATTTATGCTCGTTTCCATCTGATAAACTGCAGATGTGAAACAGTCCTGCTCCCTGCCCCAGGGAGGGTTGTGCAGTGACGAGGTGGAAAGCTGCCTCTGATCCACTGACACAGCGTCTCGAGCAGCGCCGTCTCTCGCCCGGCCAGAGATGCTGCTCAGCTCCTCTAACCGGCCACAAAGCATGATGTATGCCCCCGGCAGCCCCTGCTGTTTGTGGACAGGTAGCAATGATGTTAATGCAAGCAAGTCTTGCCCCTCTGATTTGCAGATCAGAAGGAATACGTACGATGCATCATATATTTGGAGCAGTAGTGACGGTTGTACAGGGCCTGTGCTGCAACCAGATTTGCCATCCTGAAAGGCAAACTTTACAAAGCCGGTGCAAGGAGCAGTACAAACATTTTGTTTTTAGCTTCCAGTCCGACAACAATACGCCCTTCTTTTCTGATCTGGAACAAGTGCTGCAGATTCCCAGGGCACAGATCGCCAATTGTCTGGAAAGACTGATGATGAAATGGGTTTCCAACACAGGCAATTAGGAGGCAAAGAAATGCAACAACAGATTATAGTCAAAAAGCACGGGCACACGCTGTGAAACTCCTGAGCACAGGGAAGGCTGAACCTACTGCTTTTTGCATGACAACGCTTGGGATTTTTTTTTCAGTTTGAAAAAAAAAATCCTCATCCACATGAGCTCCTGAGAAATACCTCTGGTAGCACTCCAACCAGTCGATGGGACTTCCAATGTTTGTGGCTGCTGCACAGATAAGAAAGACTTTAAAAAGCAGAGGAGTTTTTCAGACCTGCTGAGCGTGAAGCTCGCTGTTCTGGCCTCTCCCCCATCCCTGCCTCTCAGGCTTCCCTCTCCCTCCAGCCAGGGCTGATGCTTTCAGAGGCCTGGCAGTGCTGCGCTGCGGCCAGGGGAAGGGCACGTCCTCCATCAGCGACCGACTGCCCGAGCTCCCTGTGGCCACGCAGCCCAGGCTGAGCAGTGCGTCCGTTGTATCACCAGATGCCCATCACCACCGCCTGGCCTCGTGCCCGAGTCTCGGTCACCAGAACTGCAGCAGCTCGCGAGTCTGGATTCTCCTGAGGAAGCCCTGCTTTGCTACCCCGAGATGCTAGAAATCGCCACGGGTGCTGTGGTTTCCTTCGCCTTCCAGTTACAAGCAAATAGATGGAGGGACTTGAAACTCTCTTGTGTTTTGATATACGGAATGCTTAGCACCCGTGACTGGGCTAATGTTGATCTCCATTCTCCACATGGTCCTGGAGATGGCCAGAAATGCAGAATCATGAGAACACAGAATAATAAAAATTTATTATCATAGTGAAAAACTCAGAAGCATCAGCTCTGAGTTTCAGGGCTCTTCTCTCCTGAAGCTGCGCAGTTGTTTCCATGGAAACTTCCAGATCCACCCAGAAAACCCACAGGCTTTACCAGCTGCTTTATCTACTGCAGCACCTTAGGGAGAGCTGCTTCTTCCAAACGAGGGGCCTCATGACTAAGCTTCCTGTGGCAACTGGGTTCAGTTTGCACTCCAAATGCTGGCATGTTAAGGCAAGTCTGATGACTCTTTGAGCACTGTTTAAACTGTTGGGAGTTTATTTAATTCTCAAGTACACCGGACAATCTGACAAGCTATAGTGGGAGGAAGACCTCATTGACTGCTACCTCTGCACACTTTTTGGCAGCAGATATCCAAAGCAACAGGCTTTTACCAGTTCTTTCTGGTGTATTCCAGTTTATTCAGTTTATTCCTCCACTGATACAGCTATTGACTAGGAAATATTCTGGATTTTCAGTAGAATTTTTCCCTTTTGTAAGTCATCTAGGGCTCTCAGTTGTGCGTCTAGATGCTCTGTGGAATACCTTCCAGCCCCAGGGCTAATGCCTTTCAGATGTTTGAAATCCGTTCCTGAGTTGTGCATCAAACTGAATACATTCAGCTATTTTAGCTTTCTCTCACACACTCTCTTCTCGGTCCTCGATGGTATTTTGTTGCTGTTTTGCATACAGCTTCCAGTTTGTCAATATCTTTCTGGTAACAAACATGGTGCCCCAAATCATTTTCCATCAGAAACACAAGGGATTACAGAAAGCAAGGACAAACCTCCAGCTGTCTTAATTACTATTAAACTGCATTCATATGAAAGACCGCCTAACCTCTGTACCATGTTGTGGTGGTTTTGAGTGGGGAACACAGGATTCATGGGCTATTTTTTGTGGCCTTATATTCAAAATTTGTAACTTAGTGTTTCTTATTCAATAGCAGCTCTAGATCTTTTTCCATAGTATTCCTTTTGATGCGATGTTTTTTGAAGGTTGTTGATCTTCACAACCTTCCAGTCCTACGGACTATTTTGTCTTTGCTGCACCCACCTACACTTTTCCAAAATTATTTTCATTCTACCATTTTCTTCCCTTGTCCCTAAGCTTTCAAGGTCCCTTTCCTCAATGCATTGTAATTTTCAGGTTTCAGGTTCTATTAGCCGTGCTCCTTTTCAAGCCAGCCTGAATAAATGCTTCACTTCAGGTATTTTCATTGGCTACACTGTCATATATATTTCTTCAAATGTGCGGCAGTGCGGCATGAGATACTGCTTCAGATAACACAAATGTGCTTCTCCATTCATATCAGAAGATCTATGATGATTTACACCATGCTTTTTCCGTGCACTAACTTTAAAATACGTAAAAAAAATTACAAAGGTGATCCAGTAGGATGCATTAATTCTGAATATCTGGTGGGGCTTACTTATTAATGACAACAAAATAAACAGATGCAAAATTTTTTCACTAGTAAGAGAACTTTTTAATTTCACTTTGATTTGCAGGTTTTTTATCTTCATTTCTTGAACACTGGAAGAATTTGCCTACTATTTGTGACAAACTGTTTATTACATTGAACTTTGTGTTATCTATTAGAATAAGTTATTTTCTCCAAACAACACATTGGTAGCTATTTGATTTTTTTTTCAAAATACTTAATGAAGAGTTTGCGAGCTGCAACACTGCTTTGCACTCATGAGGACAGTTTCATAATGTCAAAGGCAACATATCACAAGCAGTTTGCAAACTCTGCAAATATATTTCTCCAAATTGTTTGTAGTAAGTTAGTTTTAATCATTTTGTTATTACAAAACTACTGGTGAATCAAAAGTTTCTTCACTAATAATTAGGTGACTGAAATGTGACATAGCTTCTATATTTCAGATGAGATTAAAAATTAATATCAGTAACTATAACTAGTAGTCAGCCCTTTATACACATAATCAGTGTAATATTCTCATACCTTTGTTGAGCTAGGTAAGTAAGATCTGTGATACATACTGAGGTTGTAGGACTTCAACCACATTGAAGCACTGCAGTGAGCATCTATCTCTGCCCCCAAATTTACAGTTGTATAACAGTGCCTATGTACATATATGTAATTGTTAAGTCCCAAAGTGAATAAATCTATTTATTTAGGGGTATTTGGCTATATCTCAGCTGCTGGATTTGGGAGTACTTCTCTGCCCCTGGGAGCAGATATGAGCCTAGCAGCAACCCAGTTCCATGGTAGCGCGAGCACAAAGCATGTGACCCTGCTCCTGGCTCCTGCTTTCCCAGTCTGTGTGACCAGGGCATAGAGAGGGGGGTGGAGTGGAGTGTGGCACCCTCTGATCCTGCCCCGAGCGTCTGACCCCAACCTTGGGATCCTGTGGATGGAAACCAGGATCACATCACAGGGTACTCAGGCTAGACATAGCTACTGCATCCATGTTACAGACTGTATAATACTAACATTACAATTTAAAAAAGAAAAAATCAGCAAAAAATGAGTTATCAATAGGGTCGATGTACATTAGAAAGCCCATGTGTAGCTCAGATCAAAGTAATATTTAACTTTTGCAGCAGAGTAACTAATGAAGGAAATAAGTAGGTTAGATTTAGTTGACGTAAGCTAGGGGCAAGACCGACGGTTGGAAAGGCAGCTCTGAGCTTGTGTGCTCACTCACAACCCCAAGTCTCATCAGGTTCCCTGTGAGACAGCATGACAGCACCACGTTTTCCTGTATTTTGTGTAGCAGTTTCCATCATATATTTAAAGCAGCACTCTATTTTACATAGAACATTGTGTCTCATACCCAAGGCAATTTTGTCCTGAAAAAAGAGGGAAGGGAGTGACAAGGAAAAGTTAGTTCAGTCATTTAAATTTCCTG